GAGGAGTGGGGAGGGCAGGGATGGGAAGGGCGCCTCCTTGCTGCTGAGTTCCGAGTTCCGGTGGGGCCCGTGCACTGGCGGCTCCTATCCTCAGGCCTCCAGGAATGAGTTAGGTCCCTGATCTTAATTTAAGAGTTAAATAATACCACACATATATTACAAAAGTTAGGTAAATTTCCCCTTCCCTCCTGTCATTACCTAGAAAGCTGCCAACTTCTAGATTGTAATTATGTACATGAATAATGAAATTAGCATATCTATCAGCTCCCTCCCGGCTCATTATGCACAGGGTGGAGAGTGTGCTCCCATTCCAAATCACCCTCCTCCCGAGGCCCTGCACCCCAGGGAGGGACGCAGCACCCTGCTGGGCACGGGGCCCTTCTGACAGACACAGGGTGGCATTGGGTGGGGTGGCTGAGCACGGCAGGGCCGGGCGGGGCTCTGGGGCAGTGGTCAGAGCCCAGGGCAAGGAAGGACCCCCGGGCAGAGAGCCCTGGCCTCCTGGGGACATCTTCTACCTGGACAGCCAGGTGACAGCAACATACCTCACACAGGATGTCCTCATGAGAGCAGTTCACACAAGGCTGTCTTCTACTCCGTGACTGTCTCCCCGAGCCTCGGTTTCCCCTTCTGTAGACTGGGAAGCAGAAGGCTCCTGGGACGTGGCAGGTGCGATGCTGGGCACTGTGCCTGGCCCACAGTGGGCGCTCTGTGTAAGCGAGGGGCTGCAGTTGGAACTGAGGCTGGGGTCCAGGCCAAGCCTGAGGGTGCTCACTCTCCCAGCGGGAACTGCCCTGAAGAGGTAGGACAGGAGCACACCTGACTCTTCCGCTGCCCGCCCCCCTGTCCACACTGTCCTCTACCTGGGGAGAAAGCCACAGCCCGGCGGACGGGAAAGTACTGACCAGGTCTGGGGTCTCTGGTGTGAATGCAGTGTTCATTTTTTTGCTCATTTCACTGTCGGTTTTTCCACCTTGTATCCAGGGCCCACAGTGGGGAGAGTAAGACCACCAGAGGACCGGTGAACCTGAGGACCACAGCCTGGCTGTGCAAACCCTGGGGACTTTCGGTCCCACCGAGATGGCAGAGGCCCCGGCGGAGCTCACCATCTGGAGCTCTCCTGCCACGGCCAGGCTTCTCGGCACAGTGGCTCTCCTGGGCCAACCAGTGCCCGTCTCGGATTCGGGCTGGAAGTGTCGATCCCAGGAGATCGCAGAGGGACTTTGGAGCTCCAAGCTGAGACCCACAAGGCTGCGCATCTCCCAGAGCAAGGACTCACAGTACCCCCGGCTTTCCAACCTCTCCCCGGCACCCAATGCGTGGTCTCTGCCGGGGACACCCCGCCGCCGAGAGAAAACGCACGCTGGTGACGGTAATGACCAAAATGGCAAACGGAGAGCTTCTCTGCATTCCGTCAGCTGCTCTGATCCACACACAGCACTGAGCGCAGCGCCTGATGCCTCAGGAAGGAGGGCGGATGGACGGACAGATGGAACAGCAAAACCGAACAGCAAGTCCCTCGGCTTCAGCCCACCTGGGCTCAAATCCTTGCTTTCCACTCATTAACCTGCGACGTGGCCCAGTCACACCCCTCCTCAGACTTCAGTTTTCTTTCTTTCTTCTTTCTTTTCCTTGTCTCCTCCTCCTCTCCCCTCTCCCTGCCCCTCCCTGCCCCTCGTCTTCCTTTTCTGCTTCTACTTCTCCTGTGGTCCCGGGGCTTGAACTCAGGCTTCACGCTTAGCTCCATCTGCAGCCCTTTTTAATTCTTTATTTGGAGACAGGGCCTTGCTAGGTTAGACTCAAACTGGCAATTCTCCTGCCTTGGCCTCCCAGAATGCTGGGGTCACAGGCGTGTCTAGTGCCCTGTGTTAGTTTTCCCGTCTGGGAAATGGCATGCTGGTGTCTGCTTCGCTGGCAAATGCGAGGTGTGTGTGGGGCTCAGGAGTACACTCCTTGGCCCAGCACCCGGATGAGCCCAGAGCGCAGACACAAGTCCTCCGTCCTCGCTGCTGTGGGGATGGTGTTGTGCCCCTCTGTCTACTCCACGTGCTGTGGGTCAGGAAGTCCCAGGCCAGAGATCACACACGCGTAGTTCAGAGGCCTCATCCAGGTCCCACGTGTGTTTTTAACACAATGCTCTGTCAACTTTTAAAAAATCTAATTAAGTGGCCAATATTCAAAGACTGAAATGCCAAAATGCAGGCACTTTGCGTCTCTTTGGAATTCTGCAGCTCTGCTGGGCGATTCTCACTGGCCCAGAGCTGTGGTGGGCTGGGGCGGAGCTGCGCTTGCCCCTCTTGAGGGGCGGGAGCCCCAGGCTGCCACAGTCCCCACCCCTCCCTGTTGCCTCACTCCTGGCCCGCTGCGTTCCTTGAGGTCACCGCCCTGCTGCCGCTGGAGGGTTTCGTGTTTGGAAGCCTCCCGCAGAATTCCTGTGAGCTCAACCAAGAGAGCTCCAGTCTCAGTGAGCCAAGTGGAGTTCAACAAGCAAACAAAACACCCCTCACCTCGGCTAGGTGGGCACCTCTCCCAGCTCCAGAGGCGGAGCGCCACCTCTGACACCGTCCTGCCACCCCTGGCCATGGGAGGAGCTCGCCAGGCCCGTGGGGGGGGGGATGAGGAGGAGGAGGAGGAGGAGGGAGAGCAGCGAAAGTGGCCCAGCTGAGCGCGGCCACTGCTCCTTGACGCTAATTAGGGACACAGTAATTAGATGATGCAGAGCGGACAGGGCTCAGCTTCCAGCCCCAGGTCCTGCCGACCGGCCATCCCGTTTGGAAAGCTCCCCGACATTCCTTAGCCGGCAGCCTTGCCAAAGAAAACTGGAGCGAGGCTTGTCTTGGCTGGGACTCAGGCCCTAGACTCAGCAGGAAAACCGAAAACATTTACACAGCTGTCCCAGAGACGGCCGGCCGCCCTCAAGAGTTTGTCAGGGCTCCGCGGACTCGGGGGGCGCTTCTGAAGGGGCCTGTGTTCCCCGGCACGGCCAGGCACAGCTGGCCAGACGGAAAACACCGGCCGGCCCCCCAGGAGGTGGGAGAAGGGTGCTGCGGGGAAAACCAGGCCTGGGGCGGGGTTCCTGAGGGCTGGGCGTCCTCCCTGGCCGGTTGCCCAGCTGCTTTGGCCCCTGCACAGCTCCCCACCCACCTGTGCAGGGCACCCACAGAGCCACCCAGAAATGGCCAAGAGGGCCAGGCGGGGTGCGGCCACGGAGACGGCAGGGAAAGGTGGCCTCTTGGAGGCTCTCTGCGCAGCGCGCCCGTCCTGTCTCCTCCAACCACTACCAGCCTCTCCCACCCCTTACTCCCAGGAGCCACAGCCAGACCCCGGCCCGGAAGCCCAGTCGTGTCAGGAGGGTGCGGTGCACGGGGAAGCGAGGCACCCACTGCTCGCTGGGGCCGCCCCACCACCGTCCGAGCCCTCACCAGTCTCCGCCTGCTGTACTCAGTCACCCCGTGGCCGCGGTCAGGGCCACCGTGGCTCCAGGCCCAGGGACCGCGTCCACCTCCTCCTCCACACCCCTTCTGAGCCCATCCTCCAAGCCCAAGTCTGCACAGACCTTTCACTCTTAGCTCCTCGCCGCCTGAAGATGGACACAGAGGCTGACAGTTGCAGCTTAGAGGAGGTCCCGTGCCTGTGACCACCCCTGAGTGGCTTCCAGAAGCAGCCGGCAGAGGTGAATCACTGCACCGGGGCCCTTGGTGCAATCAAGAGATACCGTGTTCAAAAAGAGGTGAACACAAGATATGTGACACACGGGTCACCCGGCCCGCTCTGTACCATCAACTTCTGCTATAAGTCAGAAACAGTCCTTAAAAGTACAGCATAGCAAGATTGTTTATCACAAGTGAGCAGATATTATGTAACGTACATGATTATGTGTGCTGTGCTTCTTTCCAGGTGGTGCGGTACTGCGGATTGACCCCAGTGCCTTTGCACTGAGCTACATCCCCAGCTCTTATTTCCTTATTTGTGCACGCAGTTATTCAGAGATAGAGCCTTGCCATGTTCGCCAGACTGGTGTCAAATTCCAGGATTTGAGTGGTCCCGCTGCCTCAGCCTCACTTAGTAGATAGATCCAGAGATACATACCATGCCTGGCTTGTTTTGAGGTTTTATACAGAGGGACTGTTAATAGTGATGACACGAATCATGCCACTAGTATTCCCTGTCCAGTGCCTTGCCTTCCAGGTTGTATGCTGAGATCCACCCATGCTGCTGTGAGGAGCTCTCGCTCGCTCGCTCCTTTTCTCTGCTGTATAACATCGCAGGACTTGTCAGAGCCCTTCCTGTTTTAATGTGTCTTCCCACATCACATCAGGATTCTTCGTGGGCTCCCCCTCCGTGCCAGGCACTGTGCCAGGCCCAGGTGACACCAGGGCGACTGCACTTGCTGTCATTGTGAGCGGGGTGGACAAAAAGCACTGGCCTCCACCTTTGCTCGGGGGTCTTGTCCTTCCAGACCCACCGGACAGCCCCAAGTGGGTCCCTTGCACCTCCAGGCATCTGCTCACTTGCAAGTTGCAGGTCTCATCACGAAGCCTCCCCAGAAGGCTTCCACTGAAACCTCGGCACCCGCCTGGCCAGAGAGGTGGCTGTGGATGCCCTGGGTCTTGAGGATGGGGCATTTGCGGGTGCTTCAGGGCACTGGGCAGGGCTGGGAACAGGGAGGGAGGTGGAGGCCCGGAGCTTCGGGAGCCAGGATGGACGGCGGGCAGGAGCCCCGGCTCACTGGGACGTGGAGGGGGCTCGCACGGACCGACGGCCTGGGCCTGGGGCCGGGCCCTCCTGTCCCCACTCTTCCCGGGGACCCCAGAGGCCCGGGCCCAGAGGTGTGTTCCCAGCCTGCTCCTGGGGCAGAAAGGCTCACCGACGTGCCTGGCGTGGAAACAGACCTCAGGTCAGAGTCTGCCCCGCATGTCCCATTGGCGGGAGGGGGTGAGTGGGACAGATGTGGAAAGAGCTCCTCGGCGGACACTAATGAAAAAGACAAGGCTGAGAAAACCCTGACCTTTGAGCTGCCAATTCAGACGCCCAAGGAAGCCCAGCCAGAAACTCCTTAGATGGCGCAGGAGGCAGTAGGGAGGGCTGGGGACTGCGGCCAACTGACACAACCACTCGGAATACTTGATGTCATTTTCTAAAACCGCAATTGTTCAGGACAGAAAAACACACCCGCTGGTTGGATAAAGTCTGCCATCCACCTCTTCGCGACCGGGATTTAAAGAAAGACCCCAACCCAGGCCCAGGTCCCTCGGTCATTGCAGAGGTCGAGCTCAGCTCAGCTCCACGCCCATTGGCTGCCGCCGTGTGGGTCCCCCGCACTCGCCCCCGACCCTGACAGGCCCGGCAGGCGGCCCGATCCACAGCAAGCACCGTGCGTGTCATGGGGACTGATGCCGCGGGATGCATAATTAATGCTGCTGGATAAATATGCAGATTGGCAATCACCGATTGACTGCTGCGATCAGGTTCCTGAGCACGGGCTAATTGATCAGCTGCCTGTAATCACCGTGCTTAGCGCTGCTCTCTTCAGCACGTGTACAAACAGATCCAGGTGGGGGCCCGGCCCGTTGGCTCCGGGAGACAGACTCTGCATTTGGAATGTCTTTTGCTGGGCCAGGCAAGGGTCCCTTGGCCCGCAGACACCTTTCCGCCAGCGACGATGGCCGAGGTGCCCAGTGTTTCACCACTGTTCCGTGGACCTGGGAAGCACAGTTCAGGAAGGGTGTGTGGCTCGGAGTCCCACCGCTAACAAGGGAAAGTCAGAAATCTGGCCTAGTGTTTTGATTCCAATCGCTGTGCGCTTTCTCTTTCTAAAAACTGTGATTTTTGACCTCCTAGACCCAGTGGTACAGCAACGGGGAGAAGGACTTGCTCTCTGATCCATCTGCTGCCGGCTGGGCCAGCGGTTTTCCCACACACGGGGGACATTGCCAAATTCATGTTGAAATTGAGCCGCCTGCCGTAGGGATGGTGGTGGTGGTGCACGTCTGGGAGGCTGAGGCAGGAGGATCACAAGTTGGAGCCCAGTCTGGGCAATTTAGCAAGATCTTGTCTCAAAGTATAAAATGAAAAAATGGTCCGGGAATGTAGCTCACTGCGAAAACCCTGAGTTCTATCCCCAGCACTGCAAAAGTAGATAAACATATAAAAATAAAAAGAGAAGTCTTGTCACAGGAGTTGGCTCCCGGATTTCAAAGGCTGGTTTGGCCCTATTTTCTCTGTGTTGCACAGGGTCATTTGCCCTACTGCCAAGCACCCCCCGACCCCATGCAACATAAGGTCCTCAAGAGGAACCCACCTGATGCTCCTGGACTTGGCGGTCCTCAGATCTGCAGGCCAGATGAGCTCCTGCAGTTTGTAATTCACCGGTGTGCCGGCGTTACAGCAGGAGAAGGAGGACCGAAGTGCATCGCCGGGAGCGCCTCCGGGGCGTCCAAGCCAGATCGGAACACCAGCGAGGACTCGGGAAGGAGGCAAAGAAAATATCTGACAGCAAGGTAAGCACAGCCACGTGGGCACACAGGTCGGGTACAGGTAGCACCTAAGGGAAGGCAAAGGAAGGGGCTGTCGGGGCCTCTGGAGGAGACGGTGGGAAAGCTTTCGGCCACAGACAGGGTCCCTGAGTGCCAGGAGGGAGGTAGAAGTGAGGGCAGGATGACCACAGACCTCAAAACAGAAATGGGCTGGGCTGGGGACTTAGCTCAGTGGTTCTGCCACCTGCCTCGCAAGCGCAAGGACCTGAGTTCAATCCACGGTACCAAACCAAACAAACAAACAAACAAAAACCAGAAAGAGGCTACCTCTCAAGAGCGGTGGGACCGAGTGGTCCCCCTTCTCCACTGCCCTGGACTGCCCTCCTCCTGCTGCTGGCCGCTCTCAGATTCCTCCTCCCCCAGCCCGCCCCTGGGCTTTAGGTAGCACTCAAGGAGTAGGCCCTGATGGCCTTAATCCAGCAGCCCTTCCAGGAGCCTGGCAGGGAGCCTGCAGAGGTCAGGATTGCACAGAGATGTGGGAAGAGGTTTCTTTCTGAAGTGAAGGGCTGCCAGGAGTCCTCTTTTGCTTTTGGGGTGGTACAGAGTGAGGCAAGGAGGTTTGCTGAGACCACATCTGCCATTGAAAGGAGCCTCTGGACCAAACTGTGCTCAAGTTTGTGCTGCACACGGCTTTCCAGTTAGAGAAGCCCGTGCATTCCTTAAAAAAAAAAAGATTTCTAAGAGACCCAGGGAAATTTTACTTCCTGGTTTCTCCTGGAGCAATGAATTTAATAAAAGGTCAGAGCACCAAAGACCTCCGGGCTCTCTCTAGCAGCGGGAGGGGACAGGGTGGTGCACGGTTTGTCCATCTCAGTGACACTTTTGTTCTTGTTCTTGCTCCTCGTCCTCCTCTCTGCTCCCCTCATTACTTCCTGTTCTCCTGGAGCAATGAATTTAATAAAAGGTCAGAGCACCAAAGACCTCCGGGCTCTCTCTAGCAGCGGGAGGGGACAGGGTGGTGCACGGTTTGTCCATCTCAGTGACACTTTTGTTCTTGTTCTTGCTCCTCGTCCTCCTCTCTGCTCCCCTCCACCTCTGGCCAGCCCCAGCACCCCTGCCTCTTTTCCCTGGCATCCTGAAGGTCTCAGCACACGAGCAGGGCTGCGGTCAGCTCTATCCGGGTGTGGAGAGGGCTCCGGTCCTTCTCGTCTGGGGTGAATCACACGCGGAGGATGTATGGGAGGGCGCAGGAGTTGGGTCTCCGCAGAGCAAGGCCCAGGCCGGGCCCAAGCACGGCCAACCCACTCCCCAGCTCTATTACATAACTTATTGTACTGCATTACTTGTATTCTGTTTTACTATTAGGGATTTGTTTCCATCTTTTATTGTGCACAATCTGTAAACTTTATCCTAGGTATAAGACAGTCTATCAAGGATGAGGTCCTATCCGCGGTTTCAGGCTTCCCTGGGGTTCCAGAAAGTCCCGCCTCGGGGTGCAGTGCTAATCGCCACCCCCCCACTGCCCCCGTCGGTGGTGGCCACAGGGACACCCCAGCCTCTGCGGTCATCTTCCACCACTGTCTGAGGCTCCAGCTCAGGTGCCCCCGGCCCCGGGCGAGTGCTAGGGTGTAGGGCTCGCCCTGTCCCCTGGGGCACACAGGACCCTAGGTAAACCCCACACGGTCCCAGGGCTGCTTCTGTCTCCATCCTGGTAACCACTGCTGAGCAGCCTCTGCTCTGAGTGCCCGGGACCCCAGGGTCAGACCAGAGAGACACCCAGAACTATGGGGTGACCCTGCCTTCATCCCAGCAGCCAAGGCGGCGGTGAGGACAGCCTTACTCGGCACAGCACAGGCGGGCAGCACCCTTGCCGGCGGCCCAGAGACCTAGCCCAGTCTGTGCCCTGTGCCCTTCCCTGTGGCCAGCAGTGGGAAGACGCCTGCTGTCCTCCACACACCCTCGGACCAGACCTAGAGGCAGAAGCTGTGGCTAAACCTGTGTCGCAGAGGGGAGACCAAGGCCCAGGACGGTAGGTGGAGCTGCTGGAGGAGAGCGCAGCTCCCTGGGGCCCCGCCCCACACTCATGGGCTCTTGGGAACAGGCTGGGGACGGGCTGGCCTGACCATGCTGGGACAGGAGGGAAGGGCCAGCCACATCAGGAAGCACAGCATCCCTGAACACGCGCCAGATGTGCGCACAGACATTCAGGAGCGCACACCACACAGTCACACGCATGCACACGTGGTTACACAGGCGCACGCACACGCATGCACACACACTCACACTCAGCAGCCCACACCAGCACTCACACTCATAGCACTCATAGAGCTCACACCTCTGCGTCATGGGGGGCTTCTAGAGCAACCTAGGCCAGAGTCAGAAGCCCAGCTGCGGTGACCAGCACAGGGGCAGCTCCAGAGAGGCACCCGGCCGGCCGAGCGTGCAGGCTCCTTGAGCCAGGAGCCAGCGGCTATGGTGGGAGGGACAGGCAGAGTGCACCTCGGGTTCCTCCCACTCCCCACGGCAGCTCCAGCAAGACCGACCCAAGGCCAGCGCTCTCCGGGCCTGCGTCCACCTGCGTGCTCCCTGGTTCCAGTCTGGTCTCTTGAGCGTCTCTTGCCCCCTGCCCTCCCAGGGCGGAGTCCCAGTAAGACAATTCCTGGGAAGTTTGGCCACAGTGACACTCAGGTCAGCACTGGCCGCTGTGAATTCTTAGCACTCATTGTTACAATGTGATTACTTCGGGACACAGTCGCTGCTCCCCTGGGATGAGTAGGGTACTGGAGGTGAGGCGGGGAGCTGTTCCCCAGAGAAATCAGAACCGACTGGGGCCGTTCAGCGAAGGGGCCAGCAGGCAGCCTGGTGACACCCTCAGCGCCCCCGGGGGCCGTGGCTGTCACAGGATGGGGTAGACTACGCCCACTCCCTCCAGCCCCGAAGGCTAGGGTCAGGTCCCAGAAAAGCTTAGCACCACTGCATCCCAAAACGGGACTCTGGTTTTATTCCAACAGTTGCAAAGGTCGAAATAAGAAAGGGCAGCAAGCGACTCGGATGTGGGACCGATTTCCTTGGCTTGTCCTCCAGTGATGGGGAAGGGAAGAGGACAGGAGACCCGATTAAAGCAGCTTATGATCCGCCATAAATAATAAATCAATAACTATCGCCGTTTTGCCCATCTCGCCTCAACTGGGTTTAAAACAAAAGATTAAATATAGAACAAAAGAAACTATAAAGGAAATACAAGAAGCAGCAGGAGAGAGATGTTCTTGCTGTCTCTCGCCTGCACACACGGGTCTTGCTGAGGAGGAGGGCTGGGGGCTCAGTGGGGGGCCGTCAGATGGGCCTGCGCCTGCCTGAGCCCTGCCTGCGGCACGGAGCCTCATTCCAACCTGCACCCCGACAAAGGGAACATCCGGGGAGGGGCTGGGTTGGGAGCTCCGGGCTGGACATGAGTGTTTCTGCTCACAATCCCAGCGCTGGGCTGGATGCCAGCTATGTGGACTCCAGCTTGGTGGTCCCAGTGGGTGACCCTGGGTTTCCTGGCACCTCCAGGTTCTTTGTTTGCAGCACATGGACCGCGGGGAGGATGGAGTGAGAGATACCAGAAGGATCTAGAACCTTCCCGAAAACAAGTGAGCTCGCCTCATCAAATTTCATTCTGGCATGAGAAGGTAGGGCTTTTCCTTTTTAGTTCTGGGGTTCAAACTCAGGACCTTTCTACTGTGATATATCCAGTCTTTTTCGCACTATTGATTGATTGATTGATTCTTTCTTTGAGACAGGATTTCACTATGTAGCCCAAGCTCACACTCACAGCCTGGCCTTGAACTCGCTGAGAGCCTCCTGCCTCAGCCTCCCAAGTCTGGGATTACAGGCGTGCCCTGCCACACCTGCCTGTGCCACATTTGATCGACACAAGGCTGGTGGTAGGTGTTACCGCAGAGGGGAGCGACCCTCTGGGACATGCGGTTCCCACAGCCGCCAGCAGCCAGTGTACCTGCTGACCCCGCAGAGTGACGGCCCAACCCGCCTCCCTGCGTCCCTTCAACACAGACCTTGCTGACACTTATGAGACAGGCGCCAGGCAGGGGCACCCCGGCCCTCCGAGTCCAGTCTGCCCTGTGACGGCAGAAGAGGCTTGAGAGGTCACTGAGCTCTCCAGCTCCCTGTCAGCCTCAACCCTGGTTCACTGATCCACGGCCTCAGATCCACGAGTGCTGTATGTGGCTTCTTCACGTGGCCGGATTGCCACGGTCCAGGGGCCCATTTCCAACCCACTTCCTGTGTCCGCACCTGACCAGCTCTTCACAGACCTTTCCCCTTCCGGACCCGGCTGTGGCCAAGGGGATGGCAGCAGATGCGCCACAGACAGGCTTTGGAGTGACTGGCAGTTTGCGTGCGAGAAGATGCGTGCTCGGGCTGGCGTTATGAGGCTGTGAAACACAGCTGAGGAAGCTGTGCACAGGGCTAAATAGATGATCACTGACTGAATCCTCTGCGCTTTTGTGCTGCTTGTTACACGGCACGTAGATAACTGATGAACTCGCCAACTCCTCAGCCTTGGCACGAGTCCAGCTAAACTCTGTCCCCAAACCACCATCTTTCCCCCATCTCGGTGAACGCCCTGCCTTCCACCAAGCCGGACGCCCGGGCATGGCCCTCAACATCTACCTGCTTTGCACCCCAGCCTTTCCAGGGGCCACAGGTGCTGGGCCATATATTCTACCCCTAGATGTCTCTGGGCTTAGACAACCCCTGACCGCCTTTGCACTCGAGGCCAGGCCGTAGCTGCACACTTCTGAGCTCGTCTTCCCCAGTGTCTTAGCCCACCAGCCCCGGCATGAGTTTTCCCAGAGTGAACCTGCTCACTACCACCCACCACGAGCTGGAAATGCGCTGCAGCCTGTCCGCCTCCCACTCACATCTTATTTTACCCGCTGCAAGTGTCCTTCACTCAAGCACAGGGATCTACTCTGCAGGCACCGGCGGGTTTCCTGACTCTGCCGCATTGATCCTGCTGCCAGGACACCCTTCCCAGCCGTGCCATCTTGGTAATTTTTATAGAACTCCTTCATTTGTGATTGCAAAGTGCCATTTTTTCAGGAAGTCACACACCATCCCAAAGCGGGGACGCCCAGGGAAGACCCCCTGATCCAGGGGCGTGATTCACATTTTCCCATGAACCAGAGAGAGCCTGGCTTCAGCACCGTAGGCCCTGACCTCCACTACCCTTCTGGGCGAGGTACCTGGCCCTTGGGGACGCCGAGAACCGGGCCTGAATCCCAGCTCGTCCTCCCCGGGGCCGGGGCTCCACCTTGGTGGTGTCAGCAATGACCAGAGTCACTGAGCACTGGGGACTCACCGGGTATTCAGGGACACAGAGCTTCCTGCTGCCAGGAGGGTGCGGTGTGCGCCGGTACCTGCTCCGAGCTGAGCCAGGCAGGTGTCCTCCCCTTTGGAGCTCACAGGCAGGCGCCAGGGATAGAACCCCGAGCGGACGGTGCTGAGGAGCGGAGCAGGGGTGGCATCCAGGAGGCCAGGGTCAGGGACGAGCATCTTGGCACAGCCTGGTGACAGCAGCACTGAGGACGTCAGGGACACAGCCGTGCCCGCTGCCCAGGTGGCTCCGGCCCTGGGTCCCTTCCAACCCAACTCACTCAGCACCTGCCCAGACTGGACGTGGAGGCCCCGAGCACTGTGCCAGACTCTGCCGCCCCCGTGGAGATGGCAGAGGCCTAGCAGGGCCACACCAGGCTGTGGGCATCGAGCAGAGGTACCACAGCCTTGAAGCTCCAAGGAGGACCTGGGAGCCAGAGTTCTGGGACAGCAGGGGACTCGGTGCCATGGGGTCTCCGAGGGGCGTGGCCTGTGGTGAGACCTGCACAAGGACTCCAGGCCATCAGGTCAAACTTGGAAGCGGCCAGTGTCCAGCGGCCCAGCCACTGGACATCAGGACCAGCACCAAAGTGAGGATGGAGTCAAAGTCCCCGCCCAGCACCTCCCGAGAGGGCAGCCAGAGCCCCCGACCCCAAGACAGGAGCCCAGCTCACTCCCAGTACATCACCTGCACTGCCCGGGGCTTCCCGCCGGGCCCCTGGCTCGGACAGGACTGAGGCTGGGACTGGAGGGAGAAGTGGCTGGAACAGAGCCGGCAGGGATCCCAGCCGCCCTCACACGCTGGGAAGAGTCTCAGGAGCTTCTCACGTTTCTTCTTTCTCATCCTAACTTGGTCTTCTCTTCCCTGCGTCTCTTTCCCTTCTCTGTCTCTCTCTCCCCACCCCCCCCTTAGTTCTTTGCCGTTTGTCCACCTCCTTTCCCTCCCCTCCACCCTCTCTCCCCACCTCTGAACTGGTACCCAATTCGCCTACCCAAAGGGCTCGGTTGGGCCAGGGATTTGGCTCAGTGGTTCCACCACCTACCTCGAAAGTGCAAGGGCCCGAGTTTGAATCCCAGTACCCTTAACAAAACAAAACAAAACAAAAAAACAAAGAGCTTGGTGCTTTGATTCCTGAAGGGCAGAAGAGGTGGGAGGCACCAAGGAGGAAGCATCCGAAAATAATTAAACAAAGGGCTGGGGATTTGGCTCAGTGGTTCCACCTCCTGCCTTGAAAGTGCAACGGCTGGAGTTCGATTCCTGGTACCAACAAAACAAAACAGAACAGAAGGGTAATTAAACAATCAAGAGACAGACACGGGGCTGAGCATCTCTCCTTTCTCTGCTGACCCTCCACCCACATCTCTGTGCCCTCCCTGCCCCCAGCACCCTCCCAGCTCCCCTCCCAGGGGGCGTCTTCTGTCCCTCTCCTCCCCCAGCCCCAGCTCCTTGGCACCTTCCGGTACCCAGGGCTGGGACCCGAGGCAGCCTACATCCTGACGCACTTTCCAGGGTAGTGGGGAAGGGACAGTGCACACAGGGGTGGCCTCCGTCTGACAGCCCATGATGGCTTCCACATGGAGGACGAAAGGAACTTCTCCAACCTCAGGCACCGCGATTTTCCTGTATTGTAGATTCTAAAGGGAAACAAATTAGAATCACAAAGGAAAGGACTTTGTAGGTTGTACAGAAAGGCCAGCCATGGGAAGTCAGTTTCTGAGATGGATCCAGAAGCTGGCGACAAAGGGGACAGAAAGAAAATGCCAGAGTGACCACAGCAGCCTCCTGGCAAGCCAGGGATGAGGGCACGTGCGTGGCTGAGGACAGAGTCGGCCGGGCCCATCCACCTCTTCCCGCAGGGAGCTCCTGTGGTCAGCTCATCTTCCAGCTCGGGTCCCCATCCCAGCTTCTTGCTCAGAGTCACCTTCCTCTACCTCCTCTGCCAGGAAAGAGAAATAGCCCAAAGCCTCACCCGGGGGCTGTTCTAGTGCGTGATGCAGATGGTGCTGCTTTAGAAGGGCAAAAACCAGTTCTGGGGTCTGCATGGTGAGTTACCTTGGGGCTGCTTGCCCACCTGCACACGGGGCAGGCAGGACCTTGAGTCCCGCTGCTCCTAACTCCACATGGAGTCTCCAGACCTGCTCCACAGCCTGCCCCTCAGCAGGGTGCTGTAGGACCCTGCCCTCCTCCCTGACTCCTTGATCTGCTCATGCAGTTCTCCTGCCTAGAACACCATTCCTCTCCTCAAGGGATGTGACCTCTTCTTGGGTAGCCCTCGCAGACCAGATTTTACTCCTGTAACTCGGGATCTTCCCTCTATGACCCCTTATGACACCTGTTACTTCTAGGGAGACCCTTTCACTATTTCACTGAGGCCTTCTGCACCACAGGCTCCATGAAGAGCCTGGACCAGCTGTTCCCCGGTGCCCACTGAACACCCAGCCCTACAGCAGTGTGGCAGCTGATAGCAAATTACATATTTATAGAGTATTAGTCATGTGCTTGGTCCTGTGGCCACAGAAGGGAATGCATGAACAGGTTGTTGTGGGGGAAGGAGGGAGGGAGGGAGAGATGGAGGGCTGGATAGAAGGATGGATGGATGGATGGATAAACAGATGGAGGGATGGATGGATGTGATGGATCGATGATGTATGATAGATATGAGGAGGGATGGAGGAATGAAGAATAAGAAAGGAAAACCCATGTTTCTAGGGCACTTGTGCCAGTGTTCGATCGTCTACCCCAGTTACCTTCGACCCTACGTTGACACTAGGAGCCAGGAGCTATTATTATCCCCATCCTGCAGATGAGGCAGCTGAGGCCCAGAGAGGTGAGGTAAGATCACACCCAGGACAGTGGAGATGGGGTTCAGTCCCAGGAGATTGGCTCCAGAGTTCAAGAACTCCATGCTCGACTGCAGTGAATGGATCCCTGGGGCTCTCTCTGGACCTGGCTTTTCCCACCTCCACGGCCTCAGGACACTTGGGCAGCAGTTCTGGGCCAGCTCACTTCTGCCAGGAGCACCCTGGGATGTAGAGCAGAGGAACAGAGCCTGTCCAGCCTCAGAAGTGGCTCCAGACCCACTCTCCGTGGGGCCGTTTCCACAGCTGTGAGATCTGGAACCGGGCCGGACTCTGAATCCCCCTCCCTGTGCTGTGTGTACGAAGGTACTGTGGACCTGCTGCATGACACTGGAAGGCCACCGGACCCCCCGAGCCTTGGTTTGCTCAGCTGGACCACGGGACTGATAAAGCCCGCTGTGCAAATTCATGCCCATTCAGCTCAGGGCTGGGCCAGGCCCAGGGTGGCTTCTGGAGCAATGGGCTGCAGCTGGGGAAGGGAGGGCTCGAATGTCCCGGGCCCGCTGTCTCCTGGCCCAGGTCCAGCCTGGCCACAGCCACCAGTCCTCTGGGCTTAATATCCTTGGCGGCAAGGCTGGGATTAGCTGCCTTTTAAGAGGGGAACTTTATTTATATGCCCCTGCCAGCCACATTCCTGCTATTAGAAATTTCAACGGCTGCTTTGATTTAGGGCTTGCCACGAGCTGCCCATCGCGGTGGCCTCCCGGCCCGGCCCGTGGCTCGCCAGCCTTGTTCCAGCTCACAGCAGCAGAAAGGCGCGGTATCTAATTTCCCGCCAGCCCGTTGCCCCTCCTGCCACACACTTATTTAATCCCTTTGGAATCGGTGTCTGGGGTGGACCTGAAGGTCAGCCCTGGGGACCCGGCTCATCTCCGTGGCCTGGGGAGGGGAGGCCAGGGGCCCCCTGAGCCCCCAAGCTGGAGACTGAGAACCTGCCACTCACAGACTGAGAGGACCCCAGGGGACCCCACGGCAAGGGCAGGGCCTGGGGCAGGGGGCTCTGCGGGGCCCGGGAGGTCTGGATGCATCTAATGGCAGGTTTTCTGGGTGGACTCAGTAAAGGCTCACTCGAGCGCTGTCCACTGAGCGGCGGGGAAGCCTGGCCGTTCCTGTCCAAGGGCTGCGTCCCCTCTCTTGGGGGCAGGACATCCCCACTGCTGTGGGAATTCAGCCCCGCAGCCGGCCCGCTCGCTAACGGGGGAATAGTGAGTGTCATTTGGGTGGGCGCTAAACCCACGCGACTGCCCCTTCTCCGTCACCCGTGGACTCCTCTCCGTCCTCAGCCAGCTGCTCGGAGGGCACCGCCCTGGACGCTCCCCGGGGTCACTCCAGGAAGGAGACCTGACGCATCACCGCCTCTGGAGCAGATCTTTCTCTCCTACCGTGCACCATGAGCCAGGATCGCGTCGTCTGCCCGAGCTAACTGCCTCTCCCACTAGACTGAGCGGGCAGGGGTCGTGTGCGTCTCCTCCCCAGTCCCGGCACACAGCAATTGCTCAGCTGCTACTGCCGGAATGGGTCGAGGATGCCGAGGGGTGGAGTAACCTAGGCGCCCTGACATCTGGCCCAGCCCCCGGCCCAAGGCTGGGCTCTTGGTCTGTGACTATGACCCAGCTCTCAAAAGGGGTTTGAGGGGCCCATTCAAAGAATGGGAAAAAGGTGGAGAGGTTCTCCAAAGCTCATTTTCTGCCCAGAGGGCCGAGTCCTCCCTCTGGAGTGCCCCAGGGGTGGCCACTGGGATCCCTGCGCCTCTGGAACCTGTAATATCGCACAGGAGCTGCAGGGTGCACCTGGAGAAAAGTATCAGAAAAGGCTGGAGCGGTCAGGCAGTGCTTCCTGGGAGAAGTGACTTATCCCCCCCGCTTATAAATATTAAGAAAAACCAAGAGAAGGAGGAAATTTAAAACATTTCATGATCCATTTTCCCAAGGAGCATGGAGCTCAGAGAGTATTTTGTACAGAACACCTCCAAAACAGAAACATCTCCTATGTGTTCTAATATATAATAAAATGTCTTCTATCTACTAATTTTCATAGGCGGGGACTCTCGGAGGTTGAAACACAGAGAAGGTAAAATGAAAAGAGGAAGAGAGAGAAACTCCCAGCCAAAGTGACAAGGGAGGACAGGCTGGGAGGGCGGCGCTCTGCCCGGCAACAGATTCGGAACCCGGAGTCCCGCCTGTCTCTGGGAGCCGCGGCTGTGGCTGCCCAGGAGTCTTCATCGTCTTGGAGCTCTGGTAGGTGTAATAGTCTCTGGTGTTGCATGTGCATTAACTAAGCGATACTGCGTTTACCTCCAAATCATGCAGAAGGCCGGCGGTGTCTGCATAAATATCCACGTGGTTACTGGGTGCAGGCTCGCTCCTCTCCCTGCCCAGCAGCCCAAAGGGAAGGGGTGAAGCCAGCGAGGGGCATCACACCCACGTCCTGGGCTGGGGAAAAGAAGATGGAACAATTAGCCACATGCAAAGTGCATGGGGCACCTCGGATGCCAGGTGGGACCAGGTGTAAACCCCAGCACAGTCCCCGACTTGCTGTGTGATGCTGGCAAGTGGCTTAACCTCTCTGTGCTCAGGATCTACCTCACACAATGACAGCCAGATGAGCTGGAAATGGGTTGGGAAGGGCTTAGCACAATGTGTTTCTTAATGTGTGGGGATGGTGGGGGTTGTGTTGGCAGAGGTCACTCAAGCCTCTTTCTGCCGCCCATGAGGGGTTCAGTACATTGGGATGAAACCCCAGTGAATTCCTTCATTCAGGATGCTCTAGGACCACGGGAGGCAGGAACCACGCTCCTGCCTGTACAGTAAGGAGCCCCATGTGGGAGGGAAACAAGAAGCTCCAAGTAAGCAGCTGAGGTCCCTGGGGTGGGAAGAGGGCGGATCGTGCAGGGGGAGAGGAAGGCACTGGGCTGCCCAGACCACGTCCTGTCTCCTCCTGCTTGGACCCCAGCTTGGTCCCCTACAGCTCCACGCTGCCATCTGGGGAATGGGGGACAAGCTCAGTCCCACCGCGCTTAGTAGAGCCAGTGGAAAACAGCCCTATGGCCGTAGAAGGAAGGCACCAGGCCACCGCAGGCCATCGATGAGGAGCCGGGGCGGTGGCACACGCCTGGAATCCCCAATACACAGGAGGCTGAGGCAGGAAGATTATAAATTTGAGGCCAGCCTGGGCTCCTTAGGTACTTAGCAAGACCCTGTCTGAAAATAAAAGTAAAAAATAAAGAGTTGTATCTCAGTGCTCTTGGGTTTAATTCCCAAGGTTAAAAAGAGAAAGAAGGAAGAAAAGAAAAGAAGGAGGAAGGGAGGAAGGTAGGGAAAAAGAAAAGCGAGTAAGGCCTGCAGGGTCCGGAGCAGAGGGAAGCCGCGGGCCCTCCCGGGGCCGGCCCTGCCTCACCCCCGGCTCGGCCCGGGCGCTCAGTGCCCCTCACGCCCGCCTGCCGCAGCTCATCCTTGACCGTCTTCCCCTGCACAGGGCGAGGACACAGCTGGCTCGAGGTCATCCACGCGCGGGGCAGCAGGGACCCAGAACCCGGCCTCCCACTGGGGTCCTCCCCCGCGTCCCCTCTGAGTCCCCTGACCAGGGCTGCAGGCCGGTTTCCTCCACTCTGGACCAACACTGCCGCCGAGGTTTTCCCTTTTCTTTAAAGGGGCCAGGATTCAGGAAAATCAACTCAACGTGCATAATTTGGTAATTATTTCTTGTGTTCATCCTCACGGCCGAGCCTGCATACAGATATTGGAATTTGCATAAAACAATCTTACTACCGTCCCGGCTTCCCGGGGAGGAGGCGCCCAGGTGGGGCGGGCGCAGCCCCTCTGTCCTCGGCCACGCCACGGAGGGGAAGAGAGGCGGCACGCGGGGAGAGGGAGCCCGGCCCAGACCAGGAAGAGGGGCCCCGGTGGGTCACAGGCGGGAGACACACCCTCGGCAGCCCGAGCCGTCCCCATTAGTATGCGGCGGGCGGCCGCCCCGAAAGGATTAATGGAGTCTGACGCTTAATATCCTGGAGAACAATTAATTTGCCCACAGTTTTGTCATGGTTGAAAGTCAAACGCTGGAACAGATCGATGCTCACACGGCGAGCTGGAGCCCAGAAACCTTCAGCAGGAGCAGAATTTTAATTTTCCCGTCCTGGGCCCCTCCCCCGATTCCCAGCACTCCCACTTCCAATAGTTTTAAAAGCCACTTTACCCGTGTACAGCGCTTGTCGTCTTCCTCACGACAAAAGTCCATCGGGAGCCTCGGAACGCAACCCCCCAGCTGCCATTATGGGATTACCGCGGGCGGCCCTCTCCCCATCTGACCTCTGTTTTATTCCACTCGTCCTCCCCAGGGCCCCAGCCTGACCCTCCTGCCTCCCGCGGGGGACTCTGATGTCTGGACACTGTCACCGGGACACTTGTTCTGAAAGGACGCCAAGGCAGAGGGCGTTGGGGCGGGGTGTTTTGTTTATTTATTTGCTCGCCAGGGTTTGGCCATTTGTTTGCGCCTTGGCATTGGCTTGGCAAGGAAACCGCAGCCTGGTGGTGGACTCGGGAACTCAGGAAATCAATGGGCTCGCCAGGAACGTGGGCTTTGTTTAAACATCATTTCCAGCCGGGCAAGAAGCGGGGCAGAGGGGCGGGGAGAGGGAGGCTGTGACTCCCGCAATTGGATCCTGGGTGGAGGTTTGGAGTTCAGGGCCCGAGGCTTCGTGGGGAGACAGGGATCAGCAGTGAGTGGCTCTGAGGCTAGCACAGCTGACCCGCTGTCCCTCCAGCTGGGGTTACTGAGTCCCGAAGAGGCCAAGGTCAGTGTCTAAGTTCACACAGCAGGCTGAGGTCTGGGACCTGAGTCTAAACCGACTAAGCATTTCAGGCTTCCCGGGTGCTGCGGCGTGTGGCCAGGGACCAGGAGCGCAGGTCTCACCTGAAGCTCGTTAGACACACAGAACCTGCATGGTCCCACGGCCCCCAGCTCCGAAGGGCCCCTCAGTGGGCTTGACACCCACTGTCACCATCTTGAAATTCTTCAGAACAATTTTCGAACAAGGGGCTCCTGAAGTCTCTCTGTGCCAGGCCCAGCACAGTGTGCAGCCAGGCCCACAGAGCCAGAGTCTGCGTGGGGAAGAGGCTGATTGGAATCCCATGTACCAGCCCAGGATGGAGGAGGAGTGGGGGGCCCTCACCCAGAGATCCAGGAGAGAGGAAAGGCGGTTCTGAGAGCCCTGCCACGGCCGAGGCTGCCCTAACCCTCCTGCCTCCTAACTTTGGGACATTTGAGTTCCCCTGCCCGTGAGCTGCCCTTAGAGGCCGCAGGCCACTGGGGGCTTTGGGGATACTTAAGCCACCACCCACAGCTCCCAGTCCCAGAATGCAACCTTCCCTTGGCCCCAGCACTCTTGATCTCCAATGACCTCCCCACCATGCTACGGACCCTTGGGTCCAGCTCCAAGCCCAGGATCCCGAAGCAGAAAGCTCTTCCTCCCTCGCCTCTTCCCTCTCCTCCTCCTCCTCCTCCTCCTCCTCCTCCTCTTCCTCCTCTCTTCCAAGATATTGAACCATCCTGGTATCATATCCATTTCCATAGTAACAGCTCACATTTTCATTGTGGACCCGTGGCAAGCATCCTGCTAAGTAAGAGCTGGCATAACCCTGAGGTGTGCCTATAATGAGACCCATTTTGCAGGCAGGGATACTGAGGCACAGGGAGGGCAAATTTTTATGAAGGGCTGCACAGAAGGCAGGAGTGTCTTCCTGGGCTGGTGTCCAGGCTCCAGGGACTGGAAAACTGATGCAAGATGATTCAACCAGTCTCTGTTCACAGGGAACCAGACTGAGGCCCAGAGAGGATGAAAACCTGACCTGGTCACACAGCCACTCAGCTCAAACTGCCTGGGTATCCTAAACATGCGTGTCAGGGGACTGTGAGGCAGGATCAGCACGATCCCCAGGCCAAAGGGTTGCACCCAGAATGTACCTGCGAGCTCTCACTGCCACACAGGTGACAGCCCACCCATCACCTCCCGGCTCTGCATGGTCAGCCCCGGAGGCCTTTGGTGCCCAGGGCCACAGCTGGAGCCAGCTCCGCGGGCACCGAACATCTACCTGTCAGCTTCCAGAGCCACACACAGGCCAGGGGAGGGAGGCCCCGCAAGCACCTTCATCTGGCCTCCTGCAGGCTCTCGTCCAGGCTCGGCCCCAGGAAAGGCTAAAGCAGGACCGTGCTCCTCCAGAGGGCAGCGTGGGCCTGACTCTGTCTTCATGGTAGAGTGGCCAGGCAGGGACCAGGGCAGGAGCCCCCGGTCCTTCTTCTGCAGTCTGGGGACCCTGAGATGCACAGACTCTCGCGCTGCTGCCGCTGCTGCCTGACACAATGAGTGCCCGGCAGGTGCTCCCTGCCAGGGTGCCTACTTAGAACTAGAAAATATCCCCCAATACACCCACTGCCCCACTTCTAACAGCATCCAAGGATAAGGCGAGGCACTTGGCTGGAGACTCAGCCACTCCGAGAGAAACAGCACAGGCTAGAAAGTGAAAATACAAAGGATGGGGCTTGGCCAGACCCGGGTTTGAGACCCAGCCCTGCCTCTTGCAGTCTTGTGCCTTCAGGCAAATGCCTCAGTTTACCTCTTCTGTAAGAGGGGAACGGCACACGCATGGTGAGGCCAGGGATTGAGGTACTTGATGATCCATCCAGGCATGATGGTCAGAGGCCAGGGCTCTGGCACATGGCCGGGCTGCAGTTACTACCAGAATTCACTACTCTAGACTTCACCCTTCACCACTGTTTCTTTAAATGCCAGACCCAGGCTGACTGCGGACCGCAAAGGCCTTGTACCAGCTCTTACCTCTGGTACAGCTCTTCCATTTGAGCCCAGGCTCAGTTTCCGGTACAGCAGAACACGGAGAACTCCTGGGGGGAGTCCATTGCCCCGGCTCCCCACACCCTCTCTAGACATGGCAGAGGACCCAAAGGTGACCTCCTGACGGGGACCACCTCCCCACGGGTCACGGCAGGCAGGGCAGGGACACCGTGCGTCTTCTGGGGGCCACATGCTGCACCGTTATCAGTGCTGCAAAGGGTGACGGTGGCGTCTAGGAACCTCGTGGCTTCCAGGCTGACTTCTGCTCCTCCCTGCAGCTGCGGCCTGGGAAATGAGGAGCATGGCAAGGGACCACCCCAACCCAGGGAAGTTCCCACCAAGACAGGGTGCCCCATCAAGGCTGGCCAGGAAGCACACCAGGCTCGGAGGGAGGTCCAGATCCTGGCTTTGCCACCTCCTTGTTGCATGGCCTCCCCTCCCTAAGCCTCAGTTTCCCACCCATAAGAATGAGCATCACAATCAGAACAGCCGTGGTCTAACAGCCCAGTAGTGCTGGACACATGGTCAGTGCTAAGAAAGCAGCAGGTGCCCGGATGATCACTTCATTCAACCACAGGGTCCTGAGTCCCGTATGCGTCCCCGGGCCCTGGACAGCACTAGTGTACTGTGCTCTCATGACACATCTCACCTGCAGACTCCGTGGCTGTGGGCAGTCCCGGCTGGAGCAGGGTGGGGAGGATACAGATAGTGAATACAACATGGTCCCCAGTCCTGGCCCGGCCCAAATCCATGTCCCTGCTCTGCTACTCCCTGCTGTGCAAACTCCAGATCCATGGTGGGTTCAAAAGATACGGTGAGTGTTTAAAATTTTTTTTAAGTATTACAGTAAAAGACACATTGCTATTAATTTCCCTTAAATCCCCCCCACACACACACACACATGCTTTAACCACACTTTTCCCTCATTCACTTTCTGGAGCAGTTCTGGAGCCCTCTTTCATGTGTGTCTTTAGCTGTGCTGCCCTGGCTGCCTCTGTGTCTTGAGCCAGTACAAACCATTTTCCTTTAATGGTCATTTTGACTTTGGGGAAGAGCCAGACGTGGGGTGGAGCTGGATCCAGTGAATAAGGTGGAAGGGGACACACGGCAATGTTTTCACGAGCTGCCTTTCCCTCGGATGGCACTCGGAAGCCGCCTTCCCTGTATCTGTGATCACACCTTGAAAGGACACACAAAAGACACCTGAAAATGGCAAGAACAGTCCGAGTGTTCAGAGCCAGGGGGAGTATGTTGAGGGAGGTTAGTGGCACTGTGTCTTTTACCATAATATATTACGATAAAATTGGCCATAATTTTTAAAAATTTTAAGTAGTCACTGTGTACACAGATCAAACCACACAGTCCCCAGAGTTTGTTTCCTCGTCGGTGAAATTCGACATCGTAAAATTTGGGCAGCTTTGAAAGAACCAACTCAAGCTGAGTTAATGTGAGAACCATCCTGGCCAACAGTAGGAGCTGAGTAAATGTTTGCGTTGATCAGGCTTCTTGTGCATTAATAGTGTCACTTACCTCCACCTTTCGGGTAGGTACAGATCTTTACTCACAAAGAGGCTTGATTACACCCATTTCCTAGGTATTTCTGATGATGCTAAAACAGGAGAACGGAATAGGGGGTTTCAAGCTCAAGAATTCCCAGCCGGAGTTCATGCAGGGATCGTGAGTGTCCTGCACCCTCCTGAGCCAGCTGAGGTGGAGACGGTCATTGCTGTAGTTTAGGTGCATTCCTGGGACTCCTTAGATCCAGGGGACAGTGAGGGACTCTGGAGCATCCTTGCAGCCTCTCCTAATCCCTTAAACGCAATGGGTCAGACTTTGAACCCACCTCACAGAAATCCCCACCCTCGCCACTCTGCCAGGGGTTCAAAAGGACTTCTAAAGGCAGTTTCCGGGGAGACCCCTGCATGGTCCTTGCTAAGAGAATCCAGTGAGGTGCGAGGTGTGCGGACTTCCTGGAGGCATGACACAGAAGCCAGAAATGGAGAGCGAAGGGCCGGTCACTCCCTGAAGGACAGCATGACTCCTGGGCTCTTTAAGCGGGTGTGAAGGAGACAAAACTAACCCCAGGGTCTGAGCAGACCCAGCAGACCCCACCCCAGAAAGGTCAGGAGGTCTGCATTACACCACCTTAGAGGAGCCTGCCTTCCCTCTCGGTCACACGTGGTCACACCTGGAAAGGCGAATCGTGTGCCAGGTTTGGTAATTGATTGGTAATGGCTTTCTGTGATACTGTTGTCGAGTGGATTTTGATATAGGATGTCCAGACACCCCAGCCTCCTTAGGACTATCTCAGTAATTATCTGTTGCTCAGACACAGTTATTAGTCATACCCATTTTCATGCTCAGAATTGTTCGGGTTTGCATAGCAGTATATGAGGTCACCCCATTTTGAGGCTACATCCAATTCAATGGAAATAATTTG